CCGAAACCCGAATTTACCGACGTTCAACGAGTTGAAAAGCGAAACGTGGAAATTGCAAAATAATTCAGTGGGCAACACTCATCACCTCACCACTCCCCCCTCAGTGTGTTTCTGATGGCCGTGGGGCTGGTCCTGGCATCCCCAGGGATGTGAAGAGCTTTCTCACTGGTTTTGATGCTTCCGTGCACCTCCCTGAAGAATTTGCTTCCATTCTTGAAGATCAGATGTAGGTGATAAAGGATCGTAGAATTATTTAGGTTGGAAAAGGTTTTAAGATCATCAGATCCAACGGTTCACCCGGTGCTGCCAGGGCCACCACGTCCCCAAGCACCTACACATCTCTTAAATCCCTCCAGGGATGGGGAGAAAGTTAAAAAAAAGGAGTTACCCTCTCAAATCCCCAGTCGAGCCAAAAACAATGCAAAAAAAAAAAAACCAAACCAACCAACCGACAACCCCAGAAGAGGCAGATTCTGCGAGTCGGGGCTGGACAGCTTGGATTTTCCTACGTCCCCGTGGCCTGATCTCTAGAGACCGTCGCTGCTCTAGACCAGATCTACGTAGGCATGAACGTCCCATCCTCTCCCGAGGTCTGTTCGCATCCCGTGATGCCTTTCTGCTCCCCAAGTCAATCGGCGTCACCCAAAATACATTTTGACCCGGGAGCTACCGAGCGTTCGGCAGTTGGCGTCGATACGATGGTTGCGAGAGCAGCTTTGTCTCGAGGCACTCTGGGCTCCCGCACCCACCGGCGCCTGTGACTTTACTCCCTGGCCCCGTCCTCCGATTTCTGAGCGGTTCCGGGGAGCTGAAGGTGAGTTTCTTAACTTGGTTTCTTGGAACTGAGGGCGAGCGGGGTTTCATCAGCAAAGATCGCTCTTTTTCTCTCATTTTTTCCCGCAGTTCTAGTCTGTGTTGTGCTTGTGTTTGTGTTTGTATGCAAGGATTTGGGGGAGAAAACGTAAAAATTAAAGGGGAAAAAAGCCTAGGCTGTGTGACTGGCTGAGAGACGGAGCTGAAAAGCCAAATTGCTGAATGGAATTGGTTCTGTTTAGCTCAAACCAGGGCAATGACTCTCCTAAATCAGCCGCCATCGATCGGGACCTTCCATTTATCAGCAGATCTAGCAAAGCGTGGCTTTGTCAAGAGATGGGTTATTTTTGCTGCCCCGTAGAGCTGTGACCAGCCAAGCTTAACTGCAAAAAATGTAAAAAAAAAAGTCCCAGTTCTTTCCAATGTTGACCCAGCCGGAGGGTTGTGGACCTTCCTCTATCACCTGAGGACCCTGATTTAGCACTGAAGCTCATGGGGAAACCTCTTGGGGTGTGGGTGGGCTGGGAAATTCCATCTGTGAGAAGGTGCCGGGTCATTTTTAGAGCAAAAATATTTATGCTCGCAGCTGGGTGGGTTTCTCCTGTCAGCACAAGCTTCCTGAAATCCTCCGAATTAGCCCCAAAACATCATTCCCAGGAAGCCGAGGCTTCTGGACAAAAAGCGTTGAGTTAATGTGGTCCCTCAAAAAATAAATAAATCCCAAATCTGTTCAATCGAGAAGCATCTTCAGACATCAGGTGGGTTAAGGTTGGAGCAGTATCGGGCTGAAGACGGTCTTGGCCTTGAGGGTCAATAATTCACCCACCCCAGCGAAGCCATCCTGGCCAGCCTTGGACCCTTCCAGCTCTTCAGGTTTACTCCCTCTTTGCTTTGTAGTTTTAACCGATTTGGCTTGAATTGAGAGGTTTTCTTCCCTAAAATAGATGAGTAATTATACAATATTGCCATGGATGCAACAGCCGGAGCGGGGGACGTGGCTCTCCGAGCGCTCTCAAAGTGACTTTGGGAGGCATCGACCGCGCTGCCATGACTCGTAACCATTCTCCCGCCCAAGTCAAGTGTGAAAGGCAATCACTGGAGGTCAGATAATTAGGAGATTAATTAGCATCCGTGGCGAAATCCGAAGAAACTCCTATGGGGAATAAAACAGCCGGTCGGGAGGAAGGTATCTGGAAGTGGCGGTGTAAAATCTGGGCTTAGGAGATGGGGAAAAACGAACTCTGCTTCTGCAAAACCCCTTTCACCTGGGCACTTCCCCCCTTGAAAATTAAATGTGTGCTTCTCGCCAGTGAGAAACCCCCCCAAACTGAACTTGTGTCTGTAATCCCACCGGCAAATCTCTAACAATAATCTCTTACGCTTCACTTGCGCCTTCTTTTGAGCAGCAGAAATAAGAGACCGGAGACGTAACCCCGGTGAAATTTATCCGGATTTTCTTAAATATGGGGAGAGCGGAGGTGGAGCGCGGCAGGCAGGGCTGGCGCCGAGCGAGGCAGGGCTGAGAGCTCGCCCGGCAGCCGACGCGTGAATTCTTGCTGGAGGGTTCCCGGTGCATCCGCCGGGAAGGTCCCT